GATCCCTATAGAGGTATTGCCGGATAGTTTTATTGAAGGCTCGAACATTGTCCCATCGTTTGAAGCCCGCAATCCGATTTGCATCCTCTTGGTATCCGAAGTGTTGAGGGGATAAGTGGTGGAGAGAAGCATATAGCTCTCATAGCGTGCCTTGCCAGAGTCACCATACGCGATCTTCTTAAATTCAGCGTTTGCTGAAGTTTAGTATTCGCCATTATGTTTCTCACAAGAACTTATTATCCCACAGGTGAAAACACAGGAACTAATATACTTCGTCTCACGAAACGTGTGCTAAGACTGAAGAAGCTCAAATGGTTGGGCCCTAGTCCAATGGGCTTCTTATAGGAAAAGAAAAGTGGAGGGGTAGTTCTGTGAGCATACAAATAAATTTATTTCTTAATATTTGTTAAATAATTCAGTCTAGAACGTTTTAGAATTTCTCAGAACGGAGCATACGTGTTCCTACAGGTTTCACGATGTCGTGGGAGCAGACGTTATATTTATCGAAGCGGTGGATGGGAAAATACATTTTATGGTTTTTTGAGAAAGTTCCCAATCAGGCTCTATTGTAGTCAAAACCGATTGTACCGTCCATCCTTACATCTAAATTTATATTTAGATAAACACATTTCTACAAATCGTTTGTGTAGGCCGCAAAGGAATGACCCACATTTTTCATATCCGAGAATTTATAAAAACGAGAAGAAAGAAGACATTCTTTTGCGCTCGCGATAAGGTTTATTCTTTTTTCTTTTGTGACTGAACGGAATGCGTGAACCCTGCAGATTCTGACGATTTTATGTTATCGCTGGAATAGGCATTATATTTGCCAAATCAGCGGATGAGAAAATGCCCTTTACATCTCTTTTGTGAACCGAAGTACTATTCTAGTCAAACTGCTTATATTTCCTTCCATGCATCTAAATTTAGATAAACAGATAATTCTACAAACATTTTTCGTGTAGGGCCTAAGAGAACCGCACGGACCTCGCATTTTTCTGAGAATGCGAAATATAGATATGAGAAGAAAAAGGTTTATTCTTTTGTAGCAGGAATAATGTGATTCTTTAACAGATAGCGAATTCCGCGATAAAACTAGATGGGTATATTGCCGAAAAAGCGTTAGTATAGTTAGCCCCACCTTATTTACACAGGCATTCGTGGAGGTTTCCCAAAATTTTGGAAGATCCATGTTATATAAGAGTGTTCGAAGCTGCTGCGACGTATTTTATTGTTTCCATCGCTTCGAACAACATTCCTATTCCGTGGTATTCGTGAACGTATAAGATGTCGCAGCTTTTCGAAATTGTACGTGACTGTATAATCGCAGCGTCTGTAGCAAATCCGATAATCAAACGGGGGAAATATCTGTGCGAACTCGCGAGTGATAATGATGAGAAGATATATGAAGTGTTTTATAAATTCGCGGCCATGTGCAGTAGTGGCGTATTGGCGATGTTATTCGCTTGTGGGCAATTTAAAAATAATCCTCGCCTGTATGGGATCGCAGTCGAAATTGTAGAAGCGAGAAGATTACTCGGACAGAATGAAGAAGATATTGGCGACCGTGTTCAGGACATGCTCCTTTCCGCATTGTAAGTAATTTCCTTTCGCTGTGATGTGACATAAAGAATAAGACTAATAAATGCTGGTGTTCACGAATACGTTCTTGTGTTCTTCATTTTCTCAGTTCTCACCAATACTGTACGAAGCGGAAATCCAAAAACCCGCTCTCGCATAAGGCTTCCTCGTCAACGAAATCTGCCCGTGAGTATAAGGAAAAATAAGTATAAGATTATTCTCTTGTAGAGTCTCGTGTTTAATATCGAGTTAAATTTTAACAAGTCGTAATAAAATAGCGAGAACTGACAAAGATATCGGCTGCAATATAAATGAGGACGGCATTGATGTTAGTCATGACAACGCTGTTCACGTCATGAGTAACATCATCGAGTACGATGACAACGGAGTCGATGAAACGACGCTAGACGCAAGTGAAGCTGGCGAAACCCAGGATTTCCGAATCTTGCAGTCTATACTAGTTGAAGGTAAGAAAAGGTAAGAGAAAATATCTTATACTCTTAGCTGTATTTTTATTCTAATTGTGTGTAAAATTTATACCTGTATAACATTTTCAATTCATATTTACAGTACAACAGGGTAGTGAATACGAGCGTTCGAAAGAACATCGAAGGGGCAAAAGCGAAGACCAAAGAGCGTGCGAAGCGACAGCAAAAGCCGACAAGGTCAACAATCGTGAGTCCTTATATAAATGTATTGAAATACTTGGGGAAACGTCGCGTAATTATAGAAAATTTAATATTCTCGGGAGAGAGTCGAATATTCGAATTCTCCCACCTCCAGAAGGAACCAACATTACCGAATATTTAGAAAATGCTTTTCGGGAAATCCACAAGTATGCGGTAAATTCGGGTGATGCGAACAACTACGTGGGATTGACGCTTGCTTCTTCGGACTTAACGCGGGGTCCTGTGGGTTTATCACTTCGTCCCGCTCGGGACTTGACCTACAACGAGATTTGGAATCTCGTGAATTCGTTAGCGCAGAGTGCCGGAGGCCATGATATTTTAGAACATTTCAAAATTAATATTTTCAATGTCGCGATACCTTCTGGTCGTGGAAAGAAATCATATAAACTAACTCACGAAGATATAGCGAAACGCTCGATTCTTACTATAAACAACTTTGACAATTTGTACTTTCCCCGTTCGCTCGTTGCTGCGATAGTGTACAACGAACGCGGCAATGTGCGCACAGAAGAAATACATGATAAATGGAATTCCGTGAGGAAGCAATATTCTATTAGCTTGTTCGGAAAGTTTGTTTCAAATTTCGCGCGCTCCACATTTCTATGTAATCAATAAGAACGAGGGCGCTCTAAACAATTTTATGTTTGTTAACAAACATTCCCGGATCTATGAGCCCGCTAAGGAAACTTCGCAGATCTTCCTAAGTGCAACTATTTCGTCAGAAATCAGTTTGAAAAGTGGAGAACCAAAAAGTCCATTTTCATCATGTGATGCTATATTGCTTTAAACGTGGCTTCACGGCTTCGCAGACTCTGAATGAGATGTTCTCAGTATATGGAGATGCCTGCGTCACTCACCAGACAGTTCGAAAATGGTATCGAAGATTCGAAGCTGGCGATTTCAACATGGAAGATCAAGCTCGCTCAGGCCGGCCTCAGGAGGTTGATGAAACGCTTCTTATGGATCTCGTGCACGAAAATCCTCGAGTGACAGTTAGAGAACTCGCCGACACTCTGCACAAGTCTGTTTCCACCGTGCATGACCATCTGAAGAAGCTAGGATTCTCAAGTCGACTGGATGTGTGGGTGCCGCACGAAATGAATGAACGGCAGTTGCTGGAACGTGTGAACGTCTGCGATATGCTGCTTCAACGGCACCAAAAAGAAAGAAACCGTTCTTGAAGAGGATCATAACAGGCGATGAAAGTTGGATCCTATACAATTATGTTAGCCGCAAAAGGTCGTGGGGAACCAGCGACGCGTCTACGTAAACAGTGGCCAAGCCGGGGCTTCACGCGAAAAAGGTTCTTCTGAGTATCTGGTGGGATTTTAAGGGCGTGGTATATTATGAGCTTCTTCAACCAAACGAAACCATTAACGCGGCGAAGTACAGCCTTCAACTGGACGAACTGAAGACTGCCATCGCACGGAAGCGCCCTGAATTGGCCAACAGGCGTGGAATTGTTTTCCATCATGATAACGCCAGACCTCACGTCGCAATGTTTATCCGTAGGAAGCTGTTAGACTTCGAATGGGACGTTCTTCCTCATCCTCCATATTCTCCCGACCTTGCCCCATCTGACTACTATCTATTTCTTTCTTTAAAAAATTTTCTTCGGGACAAGAAATTCGAGTCTTTGAAAGTCCTCAAAAGTCATCTTGATAAATTCTTCGCCAATAAGAAACCTTTATTTTGGAGCAAAGGCATCATGCAGCTTCCTGAAAGATGGGCCAAGGTCATTGAACAAAACGGTATTTTATATTTGCTTCAATAAAGTTCCTCTTTGTGTAAAATATTGCGCTCTTAATTTATTTTAAAAATTTGAAACGAACTTTCCGAACAACCTAATATATTACAACGAGACCTAGCGGTCGAACTGACACAGAAAGCCTGTATACCTGTATACCTGAAGAAGGGTGTGATATTCCCGAGATCGAGCGTTTCCAGCATTATCTTGCCAGCAACGATATCGTGATCGTTGTTTATTACTTTAGCTCCTTCGTGGTGCGCCCCCCATGTACGATGGTAGCAGCGTACTCACCTCCCACGGGCGCGAAGCTAAAACGACTCTGAATATTATGTACTACGAAAAATCCCGGCATTATAATCCAATATTAAATTTAAGAGCTGCATCGGGCAGCCAAGGTTATTGTGTACGTTGTAATAGCGGATATAAGCCAGAAAGAGGGCATCGGTGCTCAAACGCATGCCCACGGTGTCGCGGCGTTTCAACGTGCGAGGTATCAGGCGTAGAACTAATACGATGTGCTGCGTGTCAACGTGAATTCTACGGGTCGGTGTGTTTCGAGCGTCATCGTGCGCAAAAATCGCTCCAAGGCACTTCATCTTTGAGCATCTGTAATATCCTGAGAGTTTGCAGCGACTGCGGCCGTTTGCGAAACTTGAGGAACAAACACAATTGCAATGAGATCTTTTGTCGTGTTTGCAACGCGCTGCAACCAATGAATCATTTATGTTATATGAAACTACTTCGATGTGACACTGGTACATCCGATACGATGAATCCGCAGCGAGTAGAAAACGAAAACGTAGATGATGACATTGGCGAAGCGACAGAAACAAATAAGCGCATAAAAAGTAATCGCATCGCATTTGTATTCTATGATTTTGAAACGCGTCAAGACGATACGATCGAAGGCACAGAAAACTCACGTTGTGACGCTCTGTGTTTCGCAGCAGATATGTGAAAGCTGCATGAATGTAGACGATATGGCGTTGCGATGTCGTTGGTGCGGTATACGCGAATTTATATTTCGAGACAATCCTGTGAAACAATTCGTCGATTTTGTCACGAGACCGAGGAAGAGTTTCAAACAGATCATCTGCATCGCACACAACGCAAGCGCGTTCGATGCGGAATTTATCCTACGGTATTTGGTCGAGAGCGGTAATCGCGTGGAACCTAAGCTTATTTTAAACGGTACGAAGATTATATTGTTAACTATTGGGCAAACGAAATTTATCGACAGTGTTAATTATATGCCTATGCGCTTGTCAGCATTACCAAAAGCCTTCGGGTTAAAGGATACTGCAGGCAAAGGCCTGTTTCCGCATTTATTTAACACTGTCGAAAATCAACATTACATCGGACCGATACCAGATGCAAGATACTATTCTCCTGAAACGATGAGACCGTCTGAGCGTGAGCGGTTTTTAGAATGGCACGAGGACATGGTGCGCAAAAACATAGAATTTGATTTCCAACGGGAAATTGTGAGCTATTGCCGGAACGATATCGATATTCTTCGACGGGCTTGTTTTGCGTTCCGTAAGATTTTCCTGGATCGTGGAAAAGTATGTCCGTTTGAAGAATGCACAACCATCGCATCTACGTGCATGAGAGTATTTCGTAAAAACTTTCTGCGTGAAAAGGAGATAGGTATTATTCCTTCGGGTGGGTATCGGCGTGTCAACAACCAATCCCGCAAAGCATTGAAATGGTTGTTGTGGATGGAGCACGAGCTCGGTCATACTATAACGCATGCAGGTAAATCTCGCGAACATCGCATACCGGAAGGGCTGCTTGTCGATGGGTATTACGAGACAACGAATCCTGCGCAAAGACACGTGTTGCAATTTCACGGGTGTTTTTGGCATGGATGTCCAGCGTGTTTCAAGGTGAGTCGCGATACCCCGCTCTCGACCACCGTGAAAGGGGATACTATTGAGTCGCGATACGAGCATATACGCGTGACAACATCTCGTCTACAGAAGCTAGGTTACATCGTAACGAAGAAGTGGGCGTGCGTCTTCGATCGGGAGTTACAGGACAATCAACCGATATACGATTTCCTTGCGAATCACTCGATGTTAGAAACTGAGCCTCTCGATCCTCGCAAAGCGTTCTTCGGTGGTCGTACAGGGAACATCGTCACCCGGTGCGATGTTGCGGGTACGGAGAAAATACGTTACGTAGACGTATGCTCCTTGTACCCGTTTGTCCTAAAGACGGGTTCTTTTCCGCTCGGTCGCCCGGACGTGTACGTGGGTGAAGAATGTTTCGCCTTGATTGGTATAGCCCCCGATTTTGACTTTAGCAGAGTGGAGGGGATCGTGCGGTGCAAGGTGCTCGCTCCGCGTGATCTCTTTCACCCTGTACTCCCATTTCGCGTTCGCGGAAAATTATTGTTCGCCCTATGCCGTAGTTGCAGCGAGACATTTTCTCAATCTCCGTGCACACAATACGCTCAAAGATAACGTACCGCTCGACAGAAGAGAAAAAAATCGCCTATCGCGTTACAAATCAACGTTGCGTCATATCGCTAATGATCGCGGTGATTGGAGAAGCAAACGGAGAGCGATAGTGCAACGAGGCGGATTTCTACCTTATCTTGAACCATGGAAAGAGCCAAGAAGATGGTACTGATTTCTACGGATAATCTCGAGAGATTGCAGCAACAGGCTCATACATCATCGACTTCAGCGTCGTCGTTGTCGTCTTCCTCGACTGCGATCCCCTCTGTTTTAACAGATAATGCCGCAACTGGGTTGAACATAGCACCAGTAGAGAATGAAAATACGGTGCGTACTCCGGGTTCCGTCCTGTCGCGTCTCGACGCCGAGATGCATAGAATTCTCAACTCTCCAGTCCTCGGAGGAGCGCGGGAAAAATGGAAATTGTATAGAGTACTTCAGCGATATCTGTACTTTTTTCGAGAGCGGGAAAAACACCGATTACGCGGAAAAAAGAAGAGAAGCCTGTTGTTGGTGAAGTCGACGATGATGAAAACGGTGGGGAAGGGGTAAATACCCCTCGCGAAGATGACGATTATGCTGACGGAAACGTGGTAGAAGAAAACGCTAGTATGGTTGTAAATGAAAATATTCCTAACCTAGAGACTGACATACATCGAACGTTGAACATTTCTCAACACGTACGAGACGAAAGACACAGTCGTCATCATCGCACCAGCGAACAGAAAAGCATCGGAAGAATACTGAATAAAGTGCCAAAAAGTTACCGGGCGCGCAAGCTGCTGACCCATTTGTGTGATGTGGCGGTACCCGGTCGATTAAGTTGGGACAGACAGGGAGTCGTGACTATAGATGATAAAATTCTGAGAGGATCGAATATCGTCGATCTCTTGAACGACGCGGCTCGCGAACGAAAAACTAGCAGAGCGGTAGCGAGAGTACAGTTTGCACGACTTTTGCGTGAAGTGAATACTCCCCCGGGATTTGTAGGAAATCAGGAATTACTGCAGGAAGACACGGAAGAAAATGATCTTTCCGCGAAATTGAGAGAAACTCTTCCGAGAGGTAGCAGTACCCCGCTCCCGTCACCTAACGATCAACTTTGGTCTAAACGTAAGATTGCCCAGACGTCGCTTGAGGAAAAGGATGATGAGGATGGACGAGCGGTGTTTGTAACAACTAATGAGAATAGAAATAAAACGCGAATGAGCGGTGACATTTCTAAACCAGCGAATAAAAGATCCATGATAGATTGGAACCCGTTAGAATTGAGTATAGCTTCTTCAACGGCTAACAACTATGCACATCGTCTTCCACCAACGAAGGGACGAACGTGCAAGCGCGCTATCGGGGAGACGTCTCTCGCAGGAGAAGAACGCGACGGGGGGCATGTACACGCAACATTTATAACTTCCGATCAATTAAGGCGTAAAACGCGTGTGAGCGACAACGCATCTAAACCAACGAGTAAAAGACGTTTGATCAATTGGAACACACTGGAATGACCGATCTCGCAAAATTCTACTACGATCCTGCATATTATGCGGGATACTCTACGATAAAAAATCTTTCGCGAGCAGCAGGACCCGGCTCCGCACGCGAAGAGATTATTCGTTGGCTTCAGTCGCAGGATGCGTACACACTTCATCGGCCGATACGATATAAATTTCCACGTTTGCATTACAACGTCACGAATATCGACGATCTGTGGGAGGTCGATTTAATCGAACTCGCTAATCTCCGAAATTACAACGAAGGCTATTGTTACTTGTTGACAATCATCGATGTGTTTAGCAAATTTGTCTGGGTAGAACCAATACGAAGCAAGTCTTCGACCAGTGTGACGGAGGCTTTTCGCCGCGTACTCTCAAGAAACGAAGGGCGGATGCCGACGTGGTTGCAGAGTGACAAGGGTAAAGAATTCATCGGTCAAGCATTTCAAAATTTTCTGAAAGAAAAGAACATATGTTTTCGCACGGTGCGAAATCCTGATGTCAAAGCAGCGGTGGTCGAGCGCTTCAACAGAATGCTCAAAGAACGCTTATGGCGCTATTTTACACACAAAAATACACGTCGTTACATAGATGTTTTGCAAGGCATCGTTCACGCTTACAACCACACTCGACATTCCACCATTAAAATGGAACCGGCAAGCGTCACGTTGGACAACGCACGCCTTGCTCGTGAACATATGCAGCAGCGATACCACCGTCTCGATGAACTCGAAGAAATCATAGTCGAGGAGCTAAATACAAAGTGGGTACATTAGTGCGAGTCAGTAGAGCGAAAGGAGTCTTTGAGAAAGGATATGAGGCAAACTGGACGGAAGAAATATTCCGGATTCACCGTATTCTCGAATGGCGAAATCCTCGTGTGTACGAATTGAGTGATCTATCGGGTGAAGTGATCGATGGGATATTCTACGAACAAGAACTGGCCCGGGTAAATAAAAACTTACAAGAAGAAGAGTTTATTGTGGACAAAGTGATACGACACAGAGGACGAGGAGCTAATAAAGAATTATTCGTCAGCTGGCGGGATTACCCCTCTAAATTCAATTCCTGGATACCTGCTTCGAACCTAAAGCTGCTTCCAAACCATGATGGGGGAAGACCGGTTTCTCATGATTCTACCGAGCAATAATAGCATGCGACACTATCCAGAAAATACAACTACTTCATTTATTACGGAATTGCCTCAAGAAGTGAAGCTGACTGGTTTATGGGAAGTTGCGCTTACCGAAATTCAATTCCCCTTTAGTTTTTTACACGTCCGTCCCGAGGAAGATGCAGAACTCAAATTCATTTCGTTACCACGTGAAAATATTAATACCAAAAGCGTCAAGAAAGATGAAGACCAGCTACCCAAATTCGGGGTTACCCGCATAACCTCGGGGGTTTACGCCACGATGAGCGAACTGTTACAGGCTTTAAACAACGCTAGCTCATTGCTCAAAACACACATTGCTTGGCGCCAGGATCCTCATCATGGTGGTAAAGTAACGCTATACTGCACATGCGATATTAAAGAATGCAATAGACTTCATTTCGTGAAGTTTTCCGACAAAGTGGCTCGTATACTTGGCTTCGATATGTATAGACCGAACGAAGAATTAATTCATCTTAACTTGTCGAAAATTATGCAGGGACGTGTGGCGTACTATCCCAATACTGATCGTAATGTGAATCCCCAGAAAGCTGGAGAAGAAAAGTTTTACGCTTTCACCACGGTAAAACGTAAACTTATATCCGATGAACCAAGTAGTGTGGTGCGGGGTGTACCTGATAAACTCTTTGTTTATTGCGATATTTGCGAGTCCTATATAACGGGAGACGTGCATTCTCCTCTTCTCCGAGTGGTTCCCGTCGAATACAACGATGGTAAATATGCCTACGGACATGGTACATACGTAACATGGTAAAGCATTTTTCGCCACCGAATTATATTCCATTGCGATTAACATGTTTCCGCACGATCGAAATAGATATAAGAGATCAGGTTGGCGAAAGAATACCATTTGAATTTGGGACGTTGACAGTTACATTACAATTTAGACGTCGAGATTAGAAATAATTATTCCGTATTAGAACACATAGATATGACACCTTATTTAGAATATTACAAAGCACAAGTCGGGGGAAATCGTGGGGGTGGAATTCCACGAGTATTCGTAGGATCGCGGTATCAGAGCGGTCATGGTATCGGTAGTTTTCTCGGTGGTTTGTTCAGACGGGTGTTGCCTTATTTAGCCAGTGGTGCGCGTGTCGTTGGAAAAGAAGCTCTACGCGCTGGGATTAATATACTCGATGACGTGGGGAATAACACACCATTGAAAGTAGCTGTTAAAACGCGCCTCAAGGAATCAGGCTCAAATCTCAAAAGAAGAGCGGAAGAACACGTTAACAATCTGATGAAGGGGTCGGGATATAAAGTTCCTGCGAAAATCGGAAAAGCTCAGTTTCCTTTCAACATGCCAAGCGGATACAGCGGTAAATCATCTTCGCGTAAACATCGGACCTACGCTTCTAAATCAAGTAAGAGGAAAGTGACTCGAAGAAACGCGTCGGGGAAGAAATCGGGTAAGAAGCTAACGAAGAAACCCACGAAGAAGAAGCGTTCAGTGAAAAAAAGCGGCAAAGGACCCACTAAACGTCGGGGAGTTATCAAGAAGCGTACTGTGTCAGACATTTTTTCCTAAACAGCAAACGCGTGCTTTCGAAGCATGTCCTTTCTTCATACACATTCCTGCGAATGTTTAAAGAGTGAACTCGATCTCTTCACCCTACACAAACCAGTATTGAGAGTTCACAATGGATTCACTATAAATCCGTGTCTTCTCTCACGGACGACGCGCCCGTCGAATTCGTCGTACCCGGGCATGGAGAAGAATACATAGATCTTGCTCACACCATGCTGTCGCTACGCATACGAGTAGAAACGGAAACCGGAGCAGGAGCCGCCGCCGCAAAAGTAGGCCCAGTAAATCATATACTGCATTCGATGTTCAATCAAATCGACGTATATTTCAATCAAAAGCTCGTATCTCCTCCAAACAATGCTTACGCTTACCGCGCTTACATAGAGGCGTTATTAAATTATGCTTCACCAGTAAAAACCTCCCACCTGGCTTTGTGCCTGTGGTACAGCGATACTGCAGGGAACATGGACGCTTTACCTGGAGCGACACCAAGCAATCACGGGCTCGACAAGCGAGCCACTTTTGTACAAGGAGGGCGAACACTGGATCTCATAAGTCATCTTCACTGCGACGTCTTCAATCAAGATAAATTCTTGATCAACGGTGTCGAAGTGCGCATGAGGCTTGTTCGTTCGAAAGATTCCTTCTGTCTTATGGAGGGAAATACTATGTCACGGATATGCATTTTAGATGTTACACTACTTATCAGAAGAGCTAGAATAAACCCAGGCATATTACTCGCTCATACGAAAATGTTGACCAGCACTACTGCTAAATACCCCCTCACGAGAGTCGAGGTTAAATCATTCACGATTCATAGCGGCGTCGTAGGAAAGACACTGGACAACGTCATTCTTGGACAAATACCAAAGCGCATAATTGTCGGCTTTGTCGATAACAAAGTGTTTAACGGTGCCCGGCATTTAAATCCATTCAATTTCCAACATTATTATCCAACAAATTTCTTTTCGTTGTATGTCGATGGTACTCAAATCCCTAGCAGGCCGTTACAACCCAAATTCTCTGGTAACGAAATGCTTTACGCCGAGGCGTATCACACCCTTTTCTCAGGAACAGGCATTTTTGAATGAAACTAATTCTATATCCAGAGAAGATTATCCTGCTGGTTATACTCTTTTCGCTTTTGATCTCACTCCTGATCTGTCAGCTAATTGCGCGGGCCAATGGAACCTTGTGAAACACGGTAGTTTGCGAATGGAAGTACGATTCGAAAGAGCCCTCATAACAACGGTCAATTGCTTAGTTTACGCTGAATTTGAAGGTGTGCTGGAAATAGATTCTTCTCGTCAAGTCATTGTAGATTATAGCGGTTAAAATGAGTCCCCCACTTTGCTTTTCGACGTCATTCCCCTTCCCGTGTAAAGATTTTCAGCATCATTCTCCTTCAAAGTAAAAATTCTGAGAAAAGAACTCAGTCGGCTTTGAGGCGTGAAGAGTATAGTTTCGACAGGCAGAATTGAGAATACAGCGAGAACATGGATGTGATCATCGAAGTGCAGTGTTTTCGCGATAGCAACGATACCTATGTGCTCAAAGAGGTGGCTATTGTCGGTATTAATGAGGCATTTGTCGGACATTGGATCTTAGCTCCAGAGTATTCATTTGCGGAATTGAACGAAAAATCAAGACGGATAAATAACTGGCTTTCGCTGAATTATCATGGAATCGAGTGGTACGATGGGGAGGTTAATCCAAAATATTTTTATCCCCGCTTGCGCGAAATTACGAGTCATATTCGTGACTTCATGACAAAAGGCAAGGAAAAAGCGAGCTACTTGCAAAATTTGTTAGCGCGAAACGTGTATAATCTGGAGAATATCTCGCCGACGGCCAGTGATCTTTCACCCAGTGAACGAATAGAAAGCTGCTCATTCCACACATTTAGAAAACACAGACGTTATCATTGTGCATTACGTGATGCATACAAATTGAAACACTAGTTCATCGAACAAAGTCAAATTGTTACGTCCTAGAGGAGGAACGCAACCTTTTCGTTCGCGAGTAAGGCGAACCTCGTTCATACACGCGTGTCAGTGGACGGGTCAGGGACCCGACGGGTCCCTTTACTCGGGCACCGACGTACGACGAACGGTCCGTTTTTCGGTCAGGGACGCGAATCCCTTTACCGGGGATAGGACCATGAGTTGACTGTTGGAAGGGTGGGGTGATTTTGAAATTAACTGATGGAAATAAATTAATACCAAATTTATTAAAATAAGAGTGACAACAGAAAGTTATGCGGCGCGGTTTATTACAATTTACTTGAATGATGTTGTGTGTATGTGTGTGTATGAGAAGTGAAAGAAGGAGGAAATAATAAAAAAAAAGGAAGGAATATGAGTAAAGAGTTAGTAAGCAAATAAAATGTAACTTACTGGTGATTCCTGAGATGCGAGAAATGAACAAGATATAACGGTTGATAAGCGGCTCCTGCTCTGTAGGTTGGGATGGGTTGTGCGACTCCCTTCCAATTGTCCAATTATGGCACAATAGCACTGATTCTAAATTTTTATTTTTGTCCCCCAAAAAAAATAAGACAGAGGACGTAAGAGTGTGTGTAGTGCCGAAACAAAACCGAAGACGAATTTGAGTCTAAGGACGCGTTTTTACAGGTCTGACTTTTGAATCTAGAATCTAAGTGAATGTGAATCTGCTCTTTTTCCTGTCTCTCAGAATAGAAGTAGTATCGCGGAAGCGGATTACCGCGGTTTTTATAGTGATAATCGGAGGCAGAAGCTATCAGGGTGGGTAGAGAGATGGCCTTTGAGGAAGGGGTGAATTGGTCTTAGTGGGAAAAAGGTCTCAGCCATTAGCGAAGTTATTAGACATCGTGGGAGGAGACAGTTAGTTTTTGGAGATATGAATATGGAAGGGCTAAAGGGTGGAGCGTGGGTGTCTCATAGTTTTAGGTGGATATGATATGATTGGCTGAATGAATTAGGCGCGACAAGCGTGGAGATGGTGGATTCTTGAGATAGAGAAATGTATACAAGTGGCCGGCTGGAAAAATCAAAATGCCGTAAATCAAAGGCTGAGATCAGATTTTACGA